AGGCAGGCAGGCAGGCAGGCAAGTAGACACGCAGGCCGGCAGGCAGGCAGGCCGGCAGGCAGGCAGGCAGCCAGGCCGGCAGGCAGGCAGGCAGGCAGGCAGACAGGCAGGCCGTCAGGCAGGCAGGCAGGCGCTCACCAAAGGCTGGGAGAGCAGGGCCGGCGCTCGAGTATGCGCACGACAGCGGCGACGTCGGGGCCGCAAAACCGGCTGCAGAGCAGGGCCGAAACAGCTGTAGAGCGGGGCTGCGTCAGCGGCAGTAGCAGGGTGGGGCCGCGTCAGCGGCAGGTCGGGGCCGTGGCAGCTGCAGGGCAGGGCCGCATCAGCGGCAGGTCGGGGCCATGGCAGCTGCTGGGCGGGGCCGCATCAGCGGCAGGTCGGGGCCGAGGCAAAGGGCCGCGCGCGGCCGCGCTAGGGAGTAGCGGGCCGCGCGCGGCTCGGCGCGGGCTGTTGCGGGCCGCGCGCGGGCCGTGCGAGGCAGGAGCAGGCCTCGCGCGGCTCGGCACGAGCTGCTGCGGGCCGCGCGCGGGCCTCGCGAGGCCGTAGCAGGCCGCGCGCGGCTCGACGCGGGCTGCGCGGGCTCGGCGCGGGCTGCGCGCGGCAGCTGCGAGCTGCGCGCGGCTCGGTGCGGGCTGCGCGCGGTTGCAGCGGGCTGTGCGCGGCTCGGTGCAGGCTGCGCGCGGCTGCAGCGGGCTGTGCGCGGCTCGGTGCGGGCTGCGCGTGGCTGCAGCGGGCTGCGCGCGACTCGGTGCGGGCTGCGCGGTCTCGGTGCGGGCAGCGCGCGGTAGCAGCGTGTGTGCGGGTCTTACGGGCCTGACAGGCGTGTAGAGGCGGCGCGCGGGCCTTACGGGCCTCTAGGGGCAGCGCGCAGGCAAGGCAAGGCAAGGCAAGGCAAGGCAAGGCAAGGCTACGTGGGGTAGCGCGGTAACCGCAGCGGTAGGTGGGCCCGAAAAAAAACGGTCCTACGGACCTTAGTGCTCTGATACCATGTTAGAATCTAGCAGCAGGAATGGATGAACTAACAGGATGCAGGAGTACAAGTAGTAAACCCTAACTAGGTTGTACCCCATATGGGCTACCCCACTACAGCCTAGACAATATGCAGCACATATAGTTTGACATACCCGGGTCCGTATTATAGACCCGGGGGTCTACAACTGGGGGGGGGGTCCTATATATGTTAGAATCTAGCAGCAGGAATGAATGAACTAGCAAGATGCAGGAGTACAAGTAGTAAACCCTAATTGGGTTGTACCCCATATGGGCTACCCCACTACAGCCTAGACAATATGCAGTACATATAGTTTGACAATATACGGGGGATTACGGTATTTGCCTTGATGTTGAGCGTGCAACGTTTGACTGGGTGTGGCAATTATTCTCGTTCCAGATTCTCGCTGTTTGCCCAGCGGGAAGGATTCTACATTCTCAAATCCCTAGGCACGGCAGGAAAATGGCGAGTCGCGACTCTCCTTCCGCCGTCGGCTCGCGTTATTCTAAGTGCTTCGCAATTATACAATGCGGGCCCATTGAAAATTCGGTGCGAAGGATCTTAACGCTCTAATACCATGTTGAAAGACTAAGTCAAGCTAGGACTTCGGTTTTAGGAAGGAGTAGAATCGCTAGAGGAACTAGCATGAGAGTTGGCAAAAGGTGGGATTGCATTAGAAAGAGTCGAGAGTTTTACAAGCAAGGCAAGCATGCAAGGGGTGCACCACCAACACTAGGCTACACTACACTATGTTAATGCTAAGGGCAGTTATATAGAAACACTATGTTTCTTGACAATGGGATGGGATAGGATGGGATGTGATGGGATGGGATGGGATGGGATGGGATGGGATGGGATGGGATGGGATGGGATGGGATGGGATGGGATGGGATGGGAGGGGAGGGGAGGGGACGGGACGGGACGGGACGGGACGGGATGGGATGGGATGGGATGGGATGGGATGGGATGAGATGGGATGGGATGGGATGGGATGGGGTGGGGTGGGGTGGGATGGGATGGGATGGGATGGGATGGGGTGGGATGGGATGGGATGGGATGGGATGGGATGGGATGGAATGGGATGGGATGGGATGGGATGGGATGGGATGGGATGGGATGGGATGGGATGGGATGGGATGGGATGGGATGGGATGGGATGGCATGATGGGATGGGAGCAATGGCAGCACGTGCAGCGGTGGCAGATGCAGTGGCGACAGATTCTCGATGATGGCAGATGCCACAACAACAGGTGCAGCGGCGACAAGTGCTGCGGTTGTAGGTGTAGCGGCTACAGTATGCATTGGCACAAAAGGAGCTTAGCAGCAGCGGAAGCACCGCCTGCAGCAAGAAGTGGCAGCAGGTGCTCAGTGGCAGAAGTTGCGGCAAACAGCAGATGCACTGGCTACATGTGCAGTGGTAGCGGATGCTTAGCGGTTGTAGGAAGAGGAGGAGCAACTAGGAAGGGAGATCGAAAGAGAGGAGGAGAAAAGGTGTGGAGGAGAGAGCTACATGGCGGAAGGGAGGGAGAGGAGGAAGGAGGAGAAGAGAGAAAGGAAGATGGCGGTTGGTGCTGTAGGCTCGCTCCCGCCCACCCCTCAACCTCCCCCCCCAAGGCGGCAGTCACGGCAGGTGGGCGGCGGCTAACGCTGCAGGCACGATGAGGAGGAATGGAGGAGAGGGGGGCGAATAAGGAGGCTTGAGCACCCCCTTAGCCTCGGCTGCCAACCCCGCCATCTCCCTCTCATGACGGCATTCAAAGGAGAAAGCGGCAGCAATGCTGTATCCTCGGTCGCAGCACCAGGCACCAGCACGACTGGAAGTGTGATGGAGTATGGCCGGGTGCTCAGGGGGCGGCCGGGATGGGACAAAACGGGACCAGCATGATGCGACAAGGCCAGAAAAACGCGACGGGGTACGTAACGTGTGACGACAGCGGGCGCGACGGTCGCCCCGTCGATCATGTTAGGCCTTTGAGAATTTGTTGCGACGTTCACGATGATGGCGCGTTTGGAGAGATAGATTACCCTAGCAGCAGTGATGGCAGCCATGTAGCGAAGCATCAAAATGCCTTGGAGTTTAACCAAGCTCTATACCATGTCAAAGTGAAATTAGGCTTAGGGGGCTAGGAGATGTCAGCAAGAGAGTTTGGCAGGAAGGGGCTCGCACTATTAAGATGAGAGAACAAATAGGGACATGGCAAGCGAGGCAAAGGTGGGCAAGGTATACCACCGATCAGTCGATAATACTATCTGTACAACGACGGGCAGTTACATTATGTATATATAGCGTACCTATTCTGGCACACCACCTTAGCTGCCTTCAGCAGATAATAAGAGAAGGTCGGTGCCCTGCCCACCAGCCGAACCAAGTAGCAACTGACAAGCAGCCATTGACGCACAATAGCAGGCACACAATAGATATGCGCCAGGTCCAGGGTGGACGTGAGCCGAGTAGAAACCTACGTGCAACGACTGACGCGGAGCAGCAGGTGCGTGACAGGTCAAGGGCATGAGCACACAGTAAATTAAGCAGGTGGGAAGAGGTGCAGCGGAAGTCGTGAAAGGTAAGAGTGAGGAGGAGGTGGAGGAGAGAAGAGAAGAGGAGGTTGTGGCCTCTGCGGCTGGTACAGGAGGCTCACTCCCACCACCCTCCCAACCTTCCAACCACAACAGAAGGTGTGGTGGGGAGAAAGAGGAGGAGGTGGGCAGCGACTGGTGTTGATGCAAATATATAAAAACAGACGGCAATGAGTATCATATACTGTATCACTGTGTTCGTGATCTAAAATGCGTTTGAAGTTCCTTGGGTGTGTGCTTAACTTTATGGACATGCATTGATGATTTCAAATGTTTATGTCAGTACTCATAAGATTCATGAGGGCATTCCTGGATTTAATAAATGATGCTGGTTGTTGGGTTGGATATTGTAGTATAATAATTGTCTATATAGATGTAGCATTTATGTGATCTTGTTCGAGTCGCAAGCATAATTGAATGTGACACATTCCCAATGTCCTTCAACTGAATTCAAAGGTCCTGGAGTCGCGTTCTTCCTGAACGACCAATCGTGCAGCCCTTAGTTTCGCACGGCTTGTGTCATCGTCGTCAAGCCTTGCCGCATAGTCAGCTGCAAGCCTTTCCGTGGATAAGCTGATAGGGAAAGTGCTGCGTCCCACGACGATGGGCGACGCACTGACGACATTCAGTGGACCAGCCCAACTTCAAAGCCGGCCAAATCACTTGCACCCTGTGTCGCATGGCCCCGTAGCCGACTTTCGTCGTCCTGCGACGATTGCGAGCACGGATGTGGATCTCGAGGGCGCGCGTCGGATTATTCGAGGTTGCAGGTACTGTAGCGTCTAGCAAATGGAGCGTCAAATTTCCAAAGAGCCCCCCTGCAAGCTACCCTTGACCGAGCGCCTGCCTTGGTTTCTCCATCACCCCAGCTTTTCTCTTAGGCTCCGAAAAACAACGCACATGAAAGCTGTCATCCTGTCACGAGCTGCTCAAGTCGAGGAGCGTCATCTTCGAAGAACACCGGTGATGAGCTCGAATCTCGCAATAGCTCGGTCGTCGCTTGTCGTTTTTAAGATTGTCACTTGATCGAACGCCGCGCGGGTCACCATGCATATTCTTAATTCGGGTAGCGTGAGAGATATTAAGTGCTGATGGCGTCAAACTGCTCTCTAGCCCGTATCTCTCCATGGCTTTGCCAGCTCACATACTACCGCTCCTCGCATGCGCGTTGCTCGCTTCCTCAGCAGCGGCCATAGAATTCAGTTCCTCCCTTTTCTCTGAAAGAAACATACCAGATAAAGCGGATATCGGCGCGTCGAATTCTAAAGATCAGGATCACCAAAACCGGTTGTACATACCTGAACCTCTTTCCAGCCCTTTCCAAAGCGGGCATCTCCAGCCTTTAGCTTTCCCCTTGACGCACAAATTCAAATCTGGATCACATAATGGGAAGGCGCGCGGCGGGCCCGTTACCGTGCGGTGGGAAGCGCACATGGCGGCCGTGCAGCGCGACTTGCGGCGCGTTCGACGCGGGAACAGGCGGCTGCAGAGCGGCGACGATGACGAGGAGGTCGTGTTCGGACTCGTCGGAAACGCGGACCCGCAGATAGCAGGGTGAGCGCGGCGTTTGATCGGACTAGAAAGATTCTGATAGCAGGGTGGATCTGCTCTGGGTCGCATTTTGACTCCTCCTTATCCTTTCTTTACATTCCCCCCTCCTTTTCAGCCTGTACTTTGCGTCGGTGGCATTATGCTCGACGCCGCAGCTGCTCAAGGGGAAGTTGGACACGGGTAGCCACCTGCACTGGGTGCGATTCACAGGTGACTAATAGGCGCCCATCCTCCCTCCCCGTTCCCTCCCTTACCCCCTCCGCCCCTTCCCGCTGTCCGCAGCCTGTACTTTGCGTCGGTGGCGTTGGGGTCTCCGCCGCAGATGTTCAACGTGCAGGTGGCCACGGGCAGCGACCTGCTCTGGGTGCGATTCACAGGCGACTAAAACTCCTCGCACTTCTCTCCCTTCCCCCTCTCACAGGCTGTACTTCGCGTCGGTGGCGTTGGGGTCGCCGCCGCAGCTGTTCAACGTGCAGGTGGATACGGGCAGCGACCTGCTGTGGGTCGCGTGTCAGCCGTGCCTCAAATGCGCCACGCGCTCGCAAGTCGCGGTGAGAAACGCATGCGGGCTCATCATGCATCGCTATAGCGACTGCATTCAAGGGGACCTTCGATGGTTTTCATGGAAAAAAATCCGTTAAGATGTAAAAATGTATGAAGGGAACTGGTGCACAACCATCCGCAATTTCCGTCTTTTCGACGCCTCAAAACTCGGTCCTCTACTTTCCCCCCTCGAATCACCATCATGTTTGAAGCCAAATCGTTAACGTACTCGCCATTGAAGCCTTCATCGTAGAACCAGAACGCACGTGAAATCGTTTCAATCGTAGAATTTCATCACTCGTACACGCTTGTTCCTCAGAACCCCTCTCACTTATTTTGTTCTCTCATTCTTACTAACCCCTCCCTCCCTTTCAACGTCCCCTCTCCTCTCTGCTTCCGCCTCTCCGCACCGCCCCGCTCCCCCAGCCGTTGAACCCGCCGTTCAACGCGTCGCAGTCCTCCTCCAATCACCTCCTCCCGTGCGCGACGCGCGAATGCCCGCGCTATCACCTCTCCGACAACGTCCTGCGCGGCTGCCCGTCGCCCGCCGTCGCGGCGGCGGCCGCCGTGCCGGCCGCCACGTGCCTGTACATGCTGCGCTACGCGGACGGCAGCGCGTCTGTAGGCATGCTCATGCGTGACGTGCTGCACCTGCCGTGGACCCCCAGCGAGCAACCCGTGCCAGGGGGAGAAGGAGGAGTGGCTGGGGTGGCGAGGACGAGTGGTAACCAGGTACCTGGCGAGAACGGCGAGAGTGGTAACACCGGCGAGCTCAACATCGTGGAGCCGCGGAGGATTGGCCAGGAAGTAGCGGCTCAAAGCGCGGCCCCCTCGAGAGGTAGCGGCGGGGCTGCTAATAACGAGGATGAAGCGCAGGGAAGCAGCGGGCCTGCTAATAGCGGAGCTGAAACTCAGGGAAGCAGTGCGAATGCGTCAGCAAGCGGCACCAAGTACCGGCCGGTCGTGACGTTCGGGTGCGGTTTCAACCAGTCCGGCAATCTTTTAGACGGCCCGCTGACGGTCGACGGCGTGATGGGGCTGGGCCGCGGCGCGTCGTCGCTGCTGGCGCAGCTCGGCGCGCAGCACGCGCTGCCGCACGCGTTCGCGCACTGCCTGGGCGGGCCGGAGGGCGGCGGCGCGCTGTTCCTGGGGCGCGTGTCGTCCGCGGGCGCGCTGAGCGGCGTGCGCGGCGTGTGGCAGCAGACGGCGCTATGGGACAAACCCGACAGGTATGCTCCTCGCGCTGACGGCCGTGCCGGCCGAGCGGGGCGTGAGGTGGGTGGGAGACTGGGGGCCGTGCGGAGCGTGCGGGGCGTGCAGGGCGTGGGAGGGGTGAGGGGGTAGGGAGACAGAGCCGTGGAACGAACCCGACAGGCGGACAATCCACTCACTTCCTCTCTCACACTTCCCACAATCTCTTTCCCTCTCTCTCTCCTCCTCTCTCCTCGTAAAGGGCACATCCACCATGCCACCCCACTCATCCCCGCCAGTCGTGTTTTGAGACGTCTCAAAACACCTTTCTTATCACATCCACCATACCACGCCACTCATCCCTGCCAGTCGTGCACGGCCCTGCCGCCCATCTCCACCCTTGTCGCCACCTCTCCGTCCCTCCGTCCCCCGTCCTGAAAAACAATTCACCCCTGCTGCCCCTCTCTCCTCCCTCCGCACACCTCCCTCCCCCGCACCCCATCCGCGCGTGGCAGCACGCAGTACATGATCGGTCTGGCAGGCATCGCCTCCCCATCGCCTGGCAACCCGTGCCTGGGCTCTATCCCTGCGAATCGTACGCGACCCCTCCATCTCCCCCGCGTCCGCATCACCCTCTCTTCCTTCCCCTCCCCTTGTCCCTCCCCTCTCTCCCCCTGGCCTGGCATGGCAGCACGCAGTACATGATCGGCCTGCCAGGCATCGCCATCGCCAGTGTGCCCATCGCCAGTGTGCCCATCGCCTGGTAGCAAGCCATACACTGAGGTGCCACTAAAAACTAGCCCACTTTTCTTCCCTTCCCCCCCCGCGCATGGCAGCACGCAGTACATGATCGGTCTGCCAGGCATCGCCATTGCTGGGGTCCCATTCGCGTGGCAGCAAGCCATCCCTTGAGGTGCCACTAAGAATAAGCCTCCTTTCCTTCCTCCCCCATTCTCTCCCCTCTTCGCACGGCAGCACGCAGTACATGATCGGCCTGGCAGGCATGACCATTGCTGGTGCCCCCCTTGCGTGGCAACCTAGAACATGATCCCTCCACTTTGTGTGTGCCCGCATCACCCTCTCTCCCCCCATCCGCGCATGGCAGCACGCAGTACATGATCGGCCTGGCAGGCATCGCCATTGCTGGGGTCCCCATCGCCTGGCAACCCGCCGTCACCGCTTCCACCCCTGCCGCTGCTGCCAAAGATGCTGAAGCCTCCGCCGCCGCTGCTGCTGCCGCCTCCCAAACCAGCTCCACGCTTGCTGCTCCAGCAGGAAATTCCACAGCCTCGGCATCAGCAGGCTCGGCATCCGCAGGCTCGGCATCAGCAGGCTCGGCAGCAGCAGGGCTGGTGCCGTGCGTGTTGGACAGCGGCACGTCGCTCACGTACCTGCCCGACCCGCTCTACCAGACGCTCACTGCTGCTGTGAGTGCCGCCTCCCTTCTGATTCTTGGGTCGCCTCAAAATACGCTCACATACCTGCCAGACCAGCTCTACCAAACTCTTACTGCTGCCGTGAGTGCCGCTCTCCCCTAAACTTATTATTGGGTCGCTCAAGTACCTGCCTAACCCCACTTTACCAGGCGCTCACTGCTGCTGCGAGCTCCGCCCCCCTTTGCCTCCAGTGCTGCTGTCTCCTTTCCCCGGTCTCTTTTCCCCTGCCCCCTTCCCCCCTGCCCCCTGCCCCATGCATCCTTCCCTCTGCCCCCTTCCCCCTGTCTCATTCCCCTTGGCCCCTGCCTCCCCATGTCTCCTCCCCCTGTCCCATTCCCCCTGTCTCCTTCCCCCTGCCCCATGGCTCCTTTCCCCCCCCCAGCTGGTGCAAGCCATCGACTTGCCGCTACTCGCCTTCGCGCAAACAGAGGGCCACTTCTGCTACAACCTGGGCGACGGCAGGTGCGCTACAGCCTTAGCTCTCTCTCTATCCCCCCCAGTCCCGTCTTTGACTCCATCCTCCTCTGCGCAAACAGAGGGCCACTTCTGCTACAACCTAGGGGACGGCAGGTGAGCTGCAGCCCTTTCCGCCACAATCCCCCCATCCCCCTCGTTCTCCCACCACCGAACACCCTCTCCTCCTTCCCCTCCCCCCTTCCACTCTCCTAACCCTCCACAAACTCCCCCAAATCCCCCCAAATCAGCCCTACATGCTTGCCAACGTTCCCATCTTTCCTCTACCTCACCACGCACCTCCGCATCTTCCGCATCTTCCAAGCCACTCTTCCTCCAGCTGCGCCTCCCTCCCTGCCGTCCCCTCAGTCTCCCCCCTCCGCTCCCCCCCACCCACCCACAGGCTCCCCTGGCCGCGCGCGCGCTACCTCTTCCCGGACCTGACTCTCACGTTCGGCACCGGGGCTCGCATGGTGCTGCCGCCCGAAAACTACATTCTGCTGCTCGCCACCACTGCTGTACGCTCGGGACTGGGTGGGGTGCGGTGGAGTGGGATGGGATGGGGTTGCCCATGAGACGCTGCACCATGCGAGAAAATACAATCCATGCCATGTATTGCCATGCCCGCTTGCTCTACCCCATCTGCTCCCACATGGCCCAGGCATGCATGAGGCACCTTTATCCTCCCACTACCCACCCTTCTCCACTCTTTTCCATTCGCTCCCGTCCCGCAATCCCCCCTCTTTTCCCCCTGTTTTGCAGCATCTCGAAATACACCCTACGACACCCCCCCCCCCTCCTCCTTCCCCTCCCTCTCAAACCTCCGCTGGCCCATTTTTATCCCCATCCTACGCATCACCCGTTCTCATCCCCTGCCCCCCTGTCCCCTTCAGGGCTTCGAGGTGCCGTGCATTGCGTGGCAGAGCGCTGGCCCGGACTCCTCCCTTGCTGTGCTGGGCGGTGAGTTCAAGTTGGTGAGGGAGGGGGGTGGAATGGAACGGGGGATGTGAGGGACGGGGGATGACAGGAGAGGTGGGAGATGAGGGGAGGCATAAGATAAAGTGGAAAAAATGGATGGGATTCTTCCATTCTAAATGGTCACATCTGTCATGTTTCTGTTTCTGTTGTCTCATTCAACTGTAGTGCACTAGCCCGTTCTATTGAATTCCTCTAGCAAAGGCCTGATGAAGGAGATCCCGGGTGACAAGTTGCTGTTCACCTGGTCACTCCCCACGTCACCAACGTCACAGGTTCACCCCAAACTCTCACCAACTACACCCTAATCATACCTCTCCCCGCGCTGCTCTCCCCCCCCAGACCTGGCCCTGCGCAATCTGCTGGTGGAGTTTGACGTGGAAACCAACACTGTGCGCTGGCTGCGCAGATTTTGACTGGAACACTTTTCTTCGCCCTGTCCCTCTCTCACCAGCATTTGCCCCCTCCCGGCTGTGCACCCTCCCCACCACCCCTCCCACCTCCAGACCTAGCGCTGCGCAGTCTGCTGGTGGAGTTTGACGTGGAGGCCAACACTGCGCTGGCCGCGCAGATTGTTACTGGGATACCTTTGTCCACCCTGTCCCTCTTTCACCAGAATTCGCCCCCATTGCTCTCCCTTCTGTGCTCCCCCCTCCACAGACCTAGCGCTGCGCAATCTACTGGTGGAGTTTGATGTGGAGGCCAACACCGTGCGCTGGCTGCCCTCCCAGTGTGCGCTCTCCGCCCCCCTCATGCCCCTCACGCCCCCCTTTGAAATCTGAAGCTCCTCAATCTATACGCATCTCACATTTTGCACCCCACCCATCGATTTGAGCTCCCTTCCCGCCACTGACTTACCTCGCATAGTGGCTAGTACACTCAGGTTCAGGGCGTGAAGCATCTGGTTGTGGGTCCGAATCCGAACCTCTGCCCCACCATGCCATCATACCCCTCTGCACTGCACTGTCTAACGCACCATGCCACCTGCCATTCATGGGACTCCTTCCTTGGCCCTGTGCAGCATCACCGCTTGCTCGTCTTGCACCTTCCCCCATATCCTCCTGGGAGACTATCTGTGCATTTCCACTCCTTTGCCTTACTTTCCCTCACCCATCTCATGTATGTACACCCATCTCCCTCCTGTGCTGCACTATTGTCCTGTACCCATCACCTGCCATGCTGCAGGCTCCCAGATTCTACACTCGGCAGCGCAGACCACAGACCCCATTGATGCTGCTGCAGCAGCAGCCGACACAGCAGCAGCTGCTGCAGAGGCCTTCCCAGAGAGCTCTGATTGGCTCGCCTCCCTCATACCGGGGCTGGCTGGGAGTGCCAACAGAGGTAATCCAAACCAAGGAGGCCCGTTACCGGACCTGAATACCCCAGGCGCCAATCTCCCCTCTCAAAACCCTGCACAAAGTGGAGGTTCGAATGGCGTAAACCCCTCTTTAAACCCTTCCGCAAACGGTTTGTCAGGTACTGACCCAAATGGCAATGGTGGTCCGTTGAATTTGGTGGATGGTGGTTCTGGTGTTGGTGGCAGTGCGCCGTTTGTGCTTCCTTATAGTGCTGCTTCGTCCATTGGTTGTAAAGGGGATGTGGCTGCGTTGGTGCGTCTGCTGCTGGCAGTCGCTTGTGTTTTATTGCTTGCCCCTTGACGGCCTTTCAATAAGGTGCTGTCCAATGCTGTTGGTGGCAGTGCTTGCTTCTGTGAATAAATGCAGAGTTTTACATCGTTTTCTCAAGCATCCAAGAAAAGAACTCAATAGACACTCAATCATTTCACCTAAAGAGGCAGCATAGCACACCTAAAGAATTAACCAAACCGTAACGAAGCCTGTTGTCGGGGCGTTGGGCGGCAGACAAACATCATGGTTCGTTGCGATGGAAAACTACTCAAGCTCAGCGCATCGATGCTCATCGATTCGTAAAAGATCCGACGGTCCTGTTCGTTCGTACGACAGTGCGGCCGAAAAGCGGACGCCATCCGTTGACTTGACACGAGCACACCTCTGACACACTTGGGGGCGAAAGGATCATCAAAGCACCGCCTTGGGGGTTCCTCCTAAGCCATCGGAATTCCCCCAGAACTCACAGCTGCCAGTAACACAGCACGGTAGTCCCTAGGAGCACTGGCAAGCTCCTAATCGCTCATGAGTCATGCAGTCTCTGGGACCTTGTGGTGTGAACTTGCTGCTCGCTCCGTGCATCTGGATTCAGCGGACCAGACAAGCAGAGACATGCAGGAATATACATAGTATCGGTGTTATCAGGTCTTGGGTAACTCCCGACGCTCAGACAGAGTCTTTGAAGCCTTTGAGACACGTGTGACAATGGCAGCGGGAAACATCCGCAATGTCAGTAACGAAGTCCTTACGATGCGTATCGTTCAATAGCCGCGTCACACGCGTTCCCGGAACATGATGGCGGTGAGGTTTCGAGCCCGCCTATGGCGCAGACGCGGTAGCGGCGAGAGAAACTCCGGAGACTCCTCCGCGGATACTCTCGCGCCCGCGAGAGCCGCCAGACTAATAGGCGGCGAAGCAGACACGAAGCTTCGCGACGAGAAGTCCGCGGCGCGGGTGCGGTCGCTGCGCCTGTGGGGGCTGGTGCTGCTCGCGGGAGTCACCATCGGCGCGCTTTCATGGCTGCTCGCAACCGCCATTGTCGAATTCTTCGAAGTCCTCTACGCTCTCAACGACACGCTCTTAGGCGCTCACGCCGCGTCGATCACGGCGCGCGTTCCGTTCTCCCGCGTGTTCGTCGCGTCGCTCCTCATGGCGCTCATCCAAGCCGCGCTCGTCGGCCTGGCGGCCGTTCTGACGGTCAACGTCGCGCCGCTCGCCAACGGCTCGGGCGTCCCCGAGATAAAGGGATTCCTTAACGGGAACAGCATTCCGGGGTTCTTCGAACTGCGTACAACGGTCGTGAAGTATCTCGGTCTCGTGCTGGTCGTCGCGGCGGGCATGCCCGTCGGTCGCGAGGGGCCCATGGCGCACATCGGCGCGGGGGTCGCCGTTGCGCTCGTGCACCTCCCGCTGCTCGGCCTGCACGCGCACGCGCACGGAAAGAATGGCGCGGGTAAGCAGCGCAGAGACACAAGCCGCGCGCGCGGCGGAAAGCCCGGCGGGGGGAAACATCACGGCGGCGGCGCGGCGGTGGCGTGGCAGGACCGCGACGAGCAGCGCACGTTCGTGACGTACGGCGGCGCGGCGGGCGTGGCGGCGGCGTTCAAGGCGCCAATCGGCGGAGTGCTGTTCATGTTCGAAGAAGTCTCCTCCTTCTGGTCCACCGAAGCCACCTTCAAATCGTTCGTCTCCGCCACTATAAGCACACTCGTTATAGTCCTCCTCGTCGAGGCCATGGCCGGTATAGTCACATACGAAGCCTTCCTTTTATTCGTCCTAAACCCGGTTACCATCTCCTGGACGGCCAAGGATGTAGGCCCGTTCCTTCTCATGGGCGTGCTAGGAGGGCTACTCAGTCGACTCTACACTGAACTATCTCTCAAGGTGCTGAGAGCGAGACGGACTGAGATGTGGAGGCGGCGCAAGTCGGTGAAGATTGTAGATGCTGCTGTGAGCGCGCTGGTGGTGTCGCTGCTGTTCCATCTCCTCCCGGCTATGTCCCCCTGCATCTCCCTCCCTCCTCCCAGCGCCTCCGCGCCTGCTGCTCCCCCCGCGTCTCACTCCAGTGCTGCGTCCACTGCCCACGTGTCGTTTTCAACAACTGCATCTGCCACGCCGGTGAAGCCGAGAGCTTTTGCATCACTGGGAGTGTTGGTCCCTCGGGTCAAAGCAGCACAAGCATCAGCAGCAGTGGCAAGTAGCCCAGGCAGCACAGAGGGAGCAACAGCGCCACCAGCGGCACCAGCAGCACCAGAGACACCAGCTGCAGCGGCAGCTGCAGCAGCAGCAGCAGCAGCAGCACGGAGGCAGGGGGACACAGCGGAGAAACGGAGGGGCACGGGGGGGAAGGGTCAGGACACGTGGTGCTGGTGCAGTACGACTGCCCTGCAGGCCACTACAACGAACTCGCCACCCTTCTCCTGCGCGGCGAGGAGGGCGCCGTGAAGCACCTAATGGGCGACACAGAAGGCACCGCCACCACCCGAGTCTTCCCAGCATCCGTGGTGGCTGTGTTTCTCATCGCCTACTCCCTCCTAGCGGCGTCCATATCGGGCCTGGCGGTGCCGAGTGGGCAGTTCATCCCGCAGCTGCTGTACGGGGCGGCGCTGGGCCGGCTGTACGGCATGGCGCTGCATGCTGCGCTGCCGGAGCAGTTCGCGCAGCCCAGCATCTATGCGCACGTGGGGTCTGCCGCGTGCCTGGCGGGGTATACGCACCTCACAATCTCCCTTGCTGTGAGTGCTGTGGGCGGTGCTTGAGAATAAAAACGGACCACCCGTGTGCATGTGGGTTTTGCTCCATGCTGCGCTGCCGGAGCAGTTCGCGCAGCCCAGCATCTATGCGCACGTGGGGTCTGCCGCGTGCCTGGCGGGGTATACGCACCTCACCATCTCGCTTGCTGTGAGTGCTGCAAGCGGTTTCCGAAAAAATATAAATGCCATTGGTGCTCTGGCGTGGGTGCTCTGGCGTGGGTGCTCTGGCGTGGGTGCTCTGGCGTGGGTGCTCTGGCGTGGGTGCTCTGGCGTGGGTGCTCTGGCGTGGGTGCTCTGGCGTGGGTGCTCTGGCGTGGGTGCTCTGGCGTGGGTGCTCTGGCGTGGGTGCTCTGGCGTGGGTGCTCTGGCGTGGGTGCTCTGGCGTGGGTGCTCTGCTGCCATCTCTCTGTTCCATGCAGGAACTGTTCTTACTCTCCTGCATATGTGTGTATGCGCTCGCGTGCATGTGTGTGGGCGTGTGTGCGCGTGCGTGCACGTGTCGGTGTGCAGGTGATGCTGATGGAGGCATCAGGAGACATCAGCCTACTGCTTCCCATCCTCTGTGGGTACGTGCACCCATCACTACCCATGCACCCATCACTACCCATGCACCCATCACTACCCATGCACCCATCACTACCCATGCACCCATCACTACCCATGCACCCATCACTACCCATGCACCCATCACTACCCATGCACCCATCACTACCCATGCACCCATCACTACCCGTGCACCCATCACTACCCGTGCACCCATCACTACCGATGCACCCATCACGACCCATGCACCAGTATCCCGGCACACTGTGGCACGTTGCATGGCGCATTCACATAGTATACCACAAAATCGTCACTCCAGATAACACTCACATACACGTAAATATCCCTCCCCGTCCCTATACACGATCCCAGTCGCCGCATTCCTATCTGGATCCCTCTCCCCATCCCATTCCATATTCTCACCCACCACATTCTCCTTCTCCACGCCGTCCCTCAGACCATCACAGCATAGCAGCGGCCAAGGCAGTGGTGCCAAGTCGCACGCACCACATCCCTCATCTCTGTCTCTCCTCTTTTCCTCCACGCAGCATCGCGATGGCCAAGGCAGTGGCAAAACTTCTGGGCCGCGGCTGCAAAGAGGTGCTGCTGTTAATCAAGACGATCCCCTCACAGTCTTCCAACCCAATCTCCTCCCATCACCCTCATCTCGCAGCATAGGCGTGGCCAAGGCAGTCGCACAGTTGCTGGGGCGCAACTACGACGAGGTGCTCCTGTCAATCAAGATCCGCTTTCTGCAGGACAAGCCACACGCGCGCCACCAGGGCTTGCTGGAATCAACAAGATTCTCTCACCCTTCTCTCCGCCCACCTTGCCGTTTTCTCTCTCCAGCATAGGCGTGGCCAAGGCAGTCGCACAGTTGCTGGGGCGCAGCTATGACGAGGTGCTCCTATCAATCAAGAAGATTCCTTTCCTGCAGGACAAGCCCCACGCGCGCCATAAGGGCCTGCTAGCGCGGCACCTCATGGACCGCCACGTGGCACAGCTGAGGGAGATGGAGACGCCGTCGCTCGTGCGGGCGGCGCTGATGGGGTGCTTGTCGCCGGCGCTGATGGTGGTGGATGCGGAGGGCGGGCTCAAAGGGGTGGTTAGCAGGGCGAGGTTGCTCGCTCTGCTTGCTGCGCATAACCAGACGTGTGATGCTGCCGCCGCTGGTGCTGCTGGTGCGGCTGCTGCTGCTGGTGGTGGTGGCGGCAGTGGTGGTGCTGGGAGTGGTGATAGTCGTCGTTCATCTTGTGGGGCTGCTGCTGCTGCTGCAGCTCCTGCAGGTGCTGTTGGTGTTACTGGTGCTGCTGGGGATGTGAGTGCTGCGGGTGCTGCAGGTGGTGGTGGGGGCAGACTGGCACTACTGGGACGGCTGGCAGGGCCGCGGCTGAGAGCTGTGATGAAGCAGGCTCCATGGGCAAGGAGAGTGCGAGTGGGGATGGAGGAGGGTGGTGATGCAAGGATGGAGGAGGGGAGGAGGGCGGGCGGAGTGGAGGAGGCGAAAGGGGGAGAAGGGGAGGAAGAGGGAGAGGAGGAGGGGAAAGAGGAGGAGGACGAGGAGGAAGAGGAGGAAGGTGAGGGTCACGAGTGGGAGACAGAAGCGCAGCGGCGCGTGCGGAGAGAAAGACGAAGAGGCCACCGTTACACAGAGGAACTCGCTCAGAAGCTTCTGACGTGCCACGATGATAGCGAGACGGGAGAGGAGAGGCGGATGAGGGAGATGGTGCGGAGGGAGGGCGAGGAGAGATTGCTAGACCGCACCCTGCTGGCCATGGAGACCAACGCCAGGCTGGCGGACCAGCAGTGGGCGGCGGAAGACGCGCTCTGGGCGGCTGTGCCGTCCCTGCACAGCGCCCCTGCTGTCACTGCCACTGCTGGCGCTGCTGCTGGGGGCGCTGCTGCTGGTGGTGCTGCTGGTGGTGCTGCTGCTCCCACGACTGCTGAATCTGTGCAACGAGGTGGTGTGGGTGGTCGGGTGGAGCATGCGTTCAGTTCTGATGTGTATCGTGGGCTTGGGCATGGCATGGGCCATGTGCATGGGCATGAATTCGGGTATAGGTACGGGCATGGGCATGCGCATGGGCATGGGCATGGGTACGTGCATGGGCATGGGGTTGCAGGAGGCCCCACAGGCAGTGCGGATGGCAGGAGCTGGCAGCTCGGAAGCACAGGCAGCCACAGCCCCCTCCCCTCTCGCCCTCCTGCTTTTGCCGCCACCCCTCCTCCATCTGCTCCTGCTGCTGCCCCGGATGCCGCCTGTGCTGCTGTTGCTGCCCCTGGTGCTGTCTTTCCCGCTGCTGCTGCTGCCTCAGATGCAGCTTCTGACGCTTGTGGCACAGCGACGCATGGAGGAACGCCCTTCCAGCAGCAGCAGCAGCTTGAGGAGGGAGGGGGGAAGGAGCGCGAGGTAGAAGAACGGGGCGAAGCAACACAGGGCGCCAAAGAGAGGGTAGAAGGGGAGGACAGGGGAGTGGGCAGCGCGGAGAGTAGCATTGGGGCGGGGAGAGCAGAGGTGGGAGGGGGGGAGGCGGAGGTGCTGTTAGATGTGACGGCCATCATGGATCCCTTCCCCTTCCAAGTGTCTCTCTGCACGCCCATCCTCCGCGTCTTCCCCCTCATGCGCAAGGTCAGCTGCACGGGCCTCTGAGGTGACTTGCACGTGTCACAAGTGACCCACACGTGCTGTGCCTTTTCTCCTGTGAGATCGCTGCCCTGCTGTGCCTGAGGCCCCTAATCAAGACGGCGCGAGAGGGCCATGCCTGTCCCTCATGTCAATTGTGCGTTCCCTTTCTTCTTCTGCCCCCTTCCTCTCTCCCCACCCCTGCTTGCAGCTCAACCTGACCTACGTGTGTGTGGTCGACAGCACAGGCCAGCCCGTGAGACGCCATGCACAATGCCATGCCATACCATGATATGCCATACCATGCCATGCCATGCCATGCCATGCCATACCATGCCATGCCATACCATACCATGCCATGCCATACCATGCCATGCCATGCCATACCATGCCATGCCATACCATACCATGCCATGCCATACCATGCCATGCCATGCCATACCATGCCATGCCATACCATGCCATGCCATACCATGCCATGCCATGCCATACCATGCCATGCCATGCCATGCCATGCCATGCCATACCATGCCATGCCATGCCATACCATGCCATGCCGTGCCATGCCATGCCATGCCATGCCATACCATGCCATGCCATGCACCTTGCCATCCTATTCCATGCCATGCCACATTCCATGCCCAGCCGTGCCATGCCATGCCATGCCATGCCACACCATGCCATGCCATGCCATGCCATGCCATGCCATGCCATGCCATGCCATGCCATACCATGCCATGCCATACCATGCCATGCCATACCATGCCATGCCATGCCATACCATGCCATGCCATGCCATGCCATGCCATGCCATACCATGCCATGCCATGCCATGCCATACCATGCCATGCCGTGCCATGCCATGCCATGCCATGCCATACCATGCCATGCCATGCACCTTGCCATCCTATTCCATGCCATGCCACATTCCATGCCCAGCCGTGCCATGCCATGCCATGCCATGCCACACCATGCCATGCCATGCCATGCCATGCCATGCCATGCCATCCCATGCCATGCCATGCCATGCCATGCCATGCCATGCCATGCCATGCCATGCCATGCCATGCCATGCCATGCCATGCCATACCATGCCATGCCATGCCATGCCATGCCATGCCATACCATGCCATGCCATGCCATACCATGCCATGCCGTGCCATGCCATGCCATGCCATGCCATACCATGCCATGCCATGCACCTTGCCATCCTATTCCATGCCATGCCACATTCCATGCCCAGCCGTGCCATGCCATGCCATGCCATGCCACACCATGCCATGCCATGCCATGCCATGCCACACCATGCCATGCCATGCCATGCCATGCCATGCCATGCCATGCCATGCCATGCCATACCATGCCATGCCATGCCATGCCATGCCATGCCATACCATGCCATGCCATGCCATACCATGCCATGCCATGCCATGCCATACCATGCCATGCCATGCACCTTGCCATCCTATTCCATGCCATGCCACATTCCATGCCCAGCCGTGCCATGCCATGCCATGCCATGCCACACCATGCCATGCCATGCCATGCCATGCCATGCCATGCCATGCCATGCCATGCCATGCCATGCCATGCCGTGCCATGCCATGCCATGCCATGCCATGCCATGCCGTGCCATGCCATGCCATGCCATGCCATACCATGCCATGCCATGCACCTTGCCATCCTATTCCATGCCATGCCACATTCCATGCCCAGCCGTGCCATGCCATGCCATGCCATGCCACACCATGCCATGCCATGCCATGCCATGCCATGCCATGCCATGCCATGCCATCCTTCGCGCCGCCCCCTCCGCCGAGGGGGCGGCGGCCGCCACTGATGCCACGCCACGAGCACCATGCCGTGAAGTAATGCCACCCTAGTAATGCCACCATATGCCATACCATCACGAACTCCTGCGCTGAGTTGTGTTCATTCCCTCACTCTTGTCGAGAATGCCATGATGGCAGCCCGTGATGCCATGCACCATGCCATGCCATCCCATGCCATGCCATGCCATGCCATACCATGCCATGCCATACCATGCCATACCATGCCATGCCATGCCATGCCATGCCATACCATGCCATGCCATGCCATACCATGCCATGCCATGCCATGCCATACCATGCCATGCCATGCCATACCATGCCATGCCATGCCATGCCATACCATGCCATGCCATGCCATGCCATGGCCAGGCACCGCAATTTTTTCATCAAGTGGCAGCCTTCACCAACCCCCTCTTGCCTCACCATCAGTGCATGGCAGCATCACCACAGTTGCACTTCCCCATGCCATTCCATGCCATGCCATGTAGTCCCATGCTGTCATTTACACATCCTCACATCCTCTCTCCCCCTCCCCTCCCATCCAAGCAGGCGGGGCTGATAACACGAGCACACCTGATAGACGCCAAGCCAGTGCACGCCAGCGTCACCACGATTGCACTTCCCTGTGCTCTCATGCCATGCTGTCCCATGCCATCATATGCAAACCCTCACACCCCGATTCCTCCCCCCTCCACTTTGTTCTCCGCTCTGCCCCTCCATTGCAGGCGGGGCTGATAACACGAGCGCACCTGATAGACGCCAAGCCAGTGCACGCCAGCGTCACCACGTGGGGCCACTTCGGCCTGCCCTCCTTCCGCCTCTCCCGCCGCCTCTCCTCCTTCACCTCCCGCCCCTCTGTCGCCTCGCTCACCCCAGAAGCCACCCAAGCCGCCCGGGACCGTGCCGCCCGCATCCTAGCAGCTCTAGACCCAGACGCCCTGGCAATGGGGGACACGGTGCAGCAGCAGGCCGAGGCGACTGAGAGAGTGAATCTAGCTTCTATGCTGGCTGCTATGGATTCTGTACGGCACTTGTACCGACAGCCAGGCTCAGAGCATGATCCTGGGAGGATGGAGGGGCATGGGGAGGGGATGGATGGGCAGGAGGGGCGTGGTGTGGAGGGGAGGGCAGACGGGGAGGAGGGAGGGAGCGGGAGTGAGCGGGGGGAGAGGCGAGGGGCGAGGGAGGGGCAGAGGAGGTGGGCAGGGAGGGTGTCACCGAGGGAGAGGTGGAGGAAGGCGGTGGGGCTGGTGGTGGAGAGCCTGCGAGCCCAGGCTGCTGCGGCTGCCCTCGCTGCTGCCGCCCGCTCCCAACGGAACCTTGCCCTGCTGCCTGCTGCTTCTGCTGGGGGTGCTGCAAGCAGGGAGGCTTCTGGTGTTGTGGGCAGGGATGGTGGTGCTCTAGGCGAGAGGGAAGCAGGTGGTCGAGGCGGTTCAGAGCACAAGGGAGGGAAGGGTGTGAAGGAAGAAGTGATGGGGGGTCAGGAGAAGGCAGGTGAAGAGGGGCGAGGGCCATCAGTGAGGCATGTGCATTGGGGAGGGGAGGAGGGGTTGAGAGGGAGGGTGGGTCCAAGCGTGGGTGATGATGGTGGTGAAGGTGCGGAGGGGGACCTGCTAGTGGTGAGGGAGGTTGCACGCGAGGGAGAGGAGCGGGAGCAGGCGTGAGGGCAGGGTGGCTTTTGAGACGTCACAAAAGGGAGGATGCAGGCGAGGGAGAGGAGGAGCGGGAGCAAGAGTGAGGGGAGAATCGGAATCAGATGCTGGAAAGAAGACGTATTAGGTTCTGGTGGTGGAAAGCGGTTATGTTCGGGAGTGGAGCAACCTTGGGAGATTTTAAGGCAGCAACGGCAAATGACACCAGACCACAGCTCGCATGCAAATATCCTGCAGCGTGCGTGTTGCATTGCAGGAAAAGCACTGCTTTTCCCCAAGAAGAACATCAGTCAAACTTGGGAGATTATAAGGCAGCAACGGCAAATGACACCAGACCACAGCTCGCATACAAATATCCGGCAGCATGCGAAACCAAACCGCCCATAATACCCTATATGCCAGCGTGTATGTTTATTCTTTTATTCATTGGCAAATTAAGCTGCACACACGATCAAAGGCACATGGCATAACATAGGATGGCTTTTGTTTGCATAAGTAGTCCAACAGGAATTGTGTTGGAGGGGAGCGTACATTGTGGTGATGCCCTTGCCACATCTGGACTAAAGTACTACCTTATTGCAACGTGTCTCAATACAAACACAATTATCAGCCAAGCACAGAAACAATACACTTCATGGGAGCAACATTGAGACGAGCTGCTGAATTACTCAAACTTGGTGCAAAAGGAAAAGAGCGGAACTAGTAAAGCGCTCAACCACTTCGTGTATCTGCCAACCAGCCCTGTGTGTTGCATTGCAAAAAAAGCACCGCTTTCCCCCAAGAAGAACATCAGTCAAGCTAGATTACTTTGTCGGCTGCGACGCGTCAACGCCATGGATGGTAAGAAACCTTCCCCTGAAAATCCCAGGAACATTAATCTTAGCCTTGCCCTTTCCAATCCTCACTCTCTTCTTCTTGCCCTTTCCAATCTTGAATTTCTTGCCGAATCCAATATTCATTGCGTTGACCTGAGTCGCCGTGTCCACAACTTCCTCCTTGCTCATGTCAGAATTATATATAACTGCATGTAGTTCTAGCTGTAGTGTAGTCATACATTTGTTCTTGCTTGGTGGTGCACCCTTCCTGAACTATAACTTGTACTTGTTTCTCATATTGCATCATTCCTATTTTCGACTTTCTCTCTTGGCACAAACTTCCTCTCCCCCCTTGGCCTAGGCTACTAAGCCTAGGCCCTAAACCTAACTACCACTTGTGCTAGTATCTCAACAGCTCACAGTGCGACCATTCACGTCCTTGAGAGTTGACGCTTTCGCAATGTCGTCCTCCTCTGGGTACACGCCGTCGAGCATCTGAGCGCGAAATAGCTTGGTGAAGGGGTCGACGTCACCGCGCTTCAGGCCGGTGTTCACCATCATGGCGAGCGCGTCCGGCGCTGAGGTAGCAATGGCGCGGTCCTCCGGCAGCATGAAGGTCTTGTGGTCGACTTTTTAAAGGAAATCGTCATTTGGATTCCAGTCGGTCTCTGTATCATTACGAAGAAAACAGAAGCGGTGTCAAGCCAAAGGACACAATGAAATCTTGTAGTCATCGCAAAACAGGGGGGAGGGGATTGTGACATGCGCGAATCTTGTTTGCATCTTCCTCGTCTTTCAGGGGTTGGGAATCATGCAAGAATGTTGCTCGCATGATTCGTGGGAGTGTTGTTAGGGTGTTGCGTGTTTTTCGAAGTGGTGCGCGTGTTTCTGGGCACTTGAAGTCAACTCCGCAGGCCCAGCTAGATGGTTTCGTGGTAGCAAACTGTTCATCGCGCTTGTCATATTTCATGAAGTTGTAACAAACAGTGCTATTAAACTTAAATTGGTAATGTTACATTTTTTGTCAACCCGTTTGGTATAGTTCGGTGGATATTGAAATATTCATGAAACAAATATCTTGCCAATGCTTTTTGTGCAGATTCTTATTATATTATTAACTTTTTGACACGTTTTCTAAAATTATTAAATACTTGAGTCTATTCCCTATCCATAGGAACTGGACTGAGCTCGTTCGCCCAATTGCACAGCTCGTGGCGCTCGTTTGTGCGTTCGACGGCATGAATCTATGCAATGATAGGCCTGTGCGCAACACGTCACCGTTTCAACGTATGTATGCTTTTGTTAGCCCTATTTCTTCACACATTTCCTTAATTTATCCATTTCCCTAGCCATAGGAATTGGTTTGAGTTCATTCGCACAATTACGCAGCACGTGACGCTTGTTTGTGCGTTTGATGGCATGAGTCTGTGCAAGGAGAGGCCAGTACGCAACATCTCACTGTTTCATCGTCTATATGTTTTTTTTAGCCTATTTCTTCATACAGTTCCCTAGTTTATCGATTTCCCTAGCCATAGGAACTGGTTTGAGATCATTCGCACAACTACGCAGCACGTGACGCTTGTTTGTGCGTTTGATGGCATGAATCTGTGCAAGGATAGGTGAGTACGCAACATGTGACCGTTTCGTCGTCTATGCTTTTTTTAGCCCTATTTCTTCAAGCAGTTCCCTAGTTTATCCATTTCCCTAGCCATAGGAATTGGTTTGAGTTCATTCGCACAACTAAGCAGCACGTGACACTTGTTTGCGCGTTTGATGGCATGAATCTTTGCAAGGATAGGCCAGTACGCAACATGTCACCGTTTCATCATCTATTTGTTGGTTTTAGCCCTATTTCTTTACACAGTTTCCTAGTTTGTCCATTTTCCTAGCCACAGGAACTGGTTTGAGTTCATTCGCACAATTACGCAGCACGTGACGCTTGTTTGTGCGTTTGATGGCATGAATCTGTGCAAGGATAGGCCAGTACGCAACATGTCACCGTTTCGTCGTCTATATGTTTTTTTCAGCCCTATTTCTTCACACAGTTCCCTAGTTTATCCATTTCCCTAGCCATTGGAACTGGTTTAAGTTCATTCGCACAACTAAGCAGCACGTGACGCTTGTTTGCGTGTTTGATGGCATGAATCTGTGCAAGGATAGGCCAGTACGCAACATGTCACCGTTTTTGTCAAACATTATATATGTTGTGTTTGTTTAGGCTACAGTGGGTTAGCCTATAGGGGGTACACAATTCTAGGGTTAGGTACTTGTACTGATTTCACTGCTAGTTCAATCATTCCTGTCTGTTGATTCCGACATGGTTTCAGAGCAGGTCCTTCGCTAGGACCGTTCTTAGGGCCCACCGCTACCTACCTACCTACCTACCGTGCGCCCTCGTGCGCCTCCTACCTACCGCGCGCGCGCAGCCCGCCAGCCAATCGCGCGCGGCTCGTTTTCTATTTTTTTTTTTTTTTTTTTTTTTTAACCGCGCGCGACCCGGCAGCTGCCCGCGCGCGGCCGATTTCTTTTGAGCGCGACCGGCTAGCCGCCCGTGCGCCGCTCGCACCGCTATAGCGCAGCCCGCAGCGGCCCCGCAGGCCTGCACATTGCCGCCCGCCCGCTGCAGCGCCCGCCCGCTCGTCGCCCGCTGCAGCTGCCGCCCGCTCGTCGCCCGCTGCAGCTGCCGCCCGCTCGTCGCTCGCTGCTGCTGCCGCCCGCTCGTCGCTCGCTGCAGCGCCTGCCCGCTCGTCGCCCGCTGCAGCTGCCGCCCGCTCGTCGCCCGCTGCTGCTGCCGCCCGCTCGTCGCCCGCTGCAGCTGCCGCCCGCTCGTCGCCCGCTGCTGCTGCCGCCCGCTCGTCGCCCGCTGCAGCTGCCGCTCGCTCGTCGCCCGCTGCTGCTGCCGCCCGCTCGTCGCTCGCTGCAGCTGCCGCCCGCTCGTCGCTCGCTGCTGCTGCCGCCCGCTCGTCGCCCGCTGCAGCGCCTGCCCGCTCGTCGCCCGCTGCAGCTGCCGCCCGCTCGTCGCCCGCTGCTGCTGCCGCCCGCTCGTCGCACGCTGCAGCTGCCGCCCGCTCGTCGCCCGCTGCTGCTGCCGCCCGCTCGTCGCCCGCTGCAGCTGCCGCCTGCTTGTCGCCCGCTGCAGCTGCCGCTACCACGGGCCCGCCGCTGCAGCTACCGCCTGCGCGTCGCCCGCAGCCGCTCCCGCTCGTGCGCCGCGGCCGCTACCGCCCGTGCGCTCCTGTTGCGCCTGCTACCGCTGCCGCTGCTGCACTCGCTCCCACTGCGGCCGCCGCTTCTGCGCCCACTGCCGCTCCCGCCCGTGCGCATCAGCTGCTGCCGCCCGTGTGCTGACACTGCCCACAGCTTCCCTGCGGCCTCATTCTTACTGTTTCTACCGCTACTGCTACTGCCGCTATGGCTACTCCTACTGTACTTACTTTCGATGCTGAGGGCCGTCCAGTGAAGTTCGAAACCTGGCTCGATGACCTCCACCTCTTTCTACAGCTCACTGCTAAGGAGGACGTTTCACTGTACGATCATGCCCTAGGCAACGCTACTGCCCCTCCTACCACTGCTGACAGCACTCAGCGCTCACAGTGGCAGACTCGTGACGCCCACGCTCGCTTCGCTATTCGTAACTCCCTACCGATCGACGAGCGCGAGCACTTTGGCCAGCACAAAACTGCTAAGGACCTGTACACTGCTGTAGTCGCTCGCTACTCCTCCCCCGCTTCTGCCACACTAGGCCGCCTCACTCTCCCCTACCTGTTCCCCGACCTGGCCTCCTTTCAGACAGTTGCTGACCTCATCACCCACCTTAAGACCAGTGAGGCCCGCTTTCGCGCTGCTATGCCTGACGAGTTCCTCACCAGCAACCCCCCCCCGCTCTGGATCACTCTCTACCACATAGTCACCCGCCTCCCCGACTCCCTGCGCACAGTCAGGGACCACTTCCTCTCTCGCTCCCCCACTGAACTCACCATTGCCCTCCTCGAGAAGGAACTGCTTGCAGCTGAGGCGAGCATCGTCGCTGTAGGCACCTCTCGTGGCGACCCCCGCACCCCGTTCTTTGAGGGGTGTTCCCCTTCCCCTCTCCTCCCCTCTGTCGCCTCTGCTGCTGCTGTCGACCTCCTTGGTGCTGAGAAGGTCGGGGCCGCGTCTGCTTCGAGCGGGCGCCGCAAGAGCAAAGGGGGCAAGGGT